CTCTTACTGCTGTCTGGTACTGCACAGGCTCTACACTTTGGTGTCTTAACTCCAGCCGGGTGTAAGAGGAGAGGAAGAAGGCGATGGTCTTGAACATTCAGCTTGTCACCTCTACAATGCCGCTCCGTTCAGCAGAAAGTTCTGTCTGCATTCGGTATTTGTGTGGTGGATTATTCCTGCTTAACCATACTAGTCTCTGTTGTCACTCCTGAAGATTTTTTTTTTTTTCTCACTATTCCCTTTTCAAATTTGCTCAGTATTTTAACTTCAATTTGCCCACCGACATATCCCTGCAGTTGAGCTTCAGTACACTGTGTCTTCACATTTGACTGGCCTCTCTAGTCAGTCAACATCACCTGTGAAGACAGTACTCTCTCTGAGCCAGAACTGCCCCTTGTAAAAATCTCACTCTATACAGCCTTCCCTTTTAAAGGGGGATAACAGTGACTACTCTCACCCTGTATTTTACAGGCTTTTTCATATCTGCCCCGTGAGAATTCAGCTAGACCGCGCTGCCATCACTCTTACCAGCACAGCTGGAAAGCTCTGCAAAGTAAACAGAAAATGGTTTGAATTTGGGCATCACCAGAGGATGCCTGCTCTGCTCCGGCCCTGCAGCCATTTTCAAAGTTGAAAGGGGTCTTAAAGAAAAGGGAGGGAACGTTTTAGGAGTTGGAGAGAGAGAAGCAAAATGTTGGAAAAAAAAAAAAAGAGGATTTTTCATGTCCTACCAAATGAAACCCAGTAACTACAGACTAAAAATACAAGCCAAGCAGAGTATTACTCAAATGGTTCACGAAGGAATTGCTGCAAGACAAGTTACGAACAAAAGTTAAAAATATTCAGGCATGTTCTACAGTATCTGAAAAAGCATCAAATGGAATTTCTCAGTGGTCACTGAGTTTATGGAATAACCTCAATATTCCCAATAGTTTTTAAAAACTGCATGTAACTTTATTCCTTGTGAAACGTAAGACATACAATATGACTGGGGTGTTGCGCAGTCCTAATCTACCTTTGGACAAGCAAGATTCCAGAGAAGATCAGACTGTAATTCGATTTCTGAGTGTTAAATTAATGATTTTCAGTAATAGTTTCTACACATAACTTAGGAGTATGAAAATTCTGCTTCTCTAATCAACTCCTACCTAATCATGTCTTCCAACAGCTGTCTGTCATGCCGAATCCACTGGAATTAGGGGCAGGAATAACAACCCCTTGTTTCTGCAGTTCACGTAGGACATCTAATATTGAATCCAATTCCACTCGAAATTGCTCCAGTTCTTGATTCTTGCGCTGCGCCAGTCTTCGCCACCTCTCAGCCTCACGGGCCTGCCTTGCCTCAGTAACGTGTGGCGATAGTTGGGCCGCCTGCAAATTAGAAGCAAGTCAGCGCGGGGCCTTCCCAGTCAAATGCTCAGCCAGCGCTGCCCCTTTGCAAAACCACGCCACCACATTGTAGCTGATGCTCAGCCTCAAAGCCCAGTGCTCACGCTAAGTGGAAACAGTTGGTTCTGAGTATTACAAAAATTGTTCTGATAGTAATGAGTTTCTTTAAACAGCTGCATTCATGACAGAAGGGTAGAATCCACTACTGACTAACGAGGCTCAGGAGGATTTAGCTTACCCTCTCCAAAGCAGCAATTAAAAGTTTGAAAGTTTAAGACAAAGCTGCGCATATAACAAACCCCTCTATAATCAAAAGGAACCTTTTGAATTGCCACTTACATGTGTTAATTAAAAGAAGGCTCTGCAAGAGAAACAAACCAAATCTGAGTGACGTTCTGGGCTATTACCATACTTTAAAAACTATAATCAAAAGGAACCTTTTGAATTGCCACTTAAATGTGTTAATTAAAAGAAGGCTTTGCAAGAGAAACAAACCAAATCTGAGTGACATGTTCTGGACTATTACCATACTTTTAAAAACCACAAATTCTATGAATTATCAGAAAATATCCTGTAGCCACACAGGTCTGAAGCTGCTGCAGGTAAAAGTTTGAATTAATTTTGGTGTGAATCCATGGCATAAGCCTGTTAAATTACCCAAAATAAAGCATCACAAGGATGTCCTGTGCAACCTGCTCTAGGTGAACCTGCTTTAGCAGGGGGGTTGGACTGGATGATCTCCTGAGGTCCCTTCCAACCCCTGCCCTTCTGTGATTCTGTGTATCAAAACCTCCACACCACTATTAATTGTGCTAGCTTCTTTAAGGAAAGCTCTAGCACTTACGAGGCCGTATTTATTGTATTTGTCGTTTGATACGAAGGTTCATCTGTTATCTCCTTGTTCAGCAAATCATTTTTGTATATTGTTCAGTTCGTTATCGTTCATTTGGGGGACTGTTCGGTGCCCCACCTAGGTGCAAACCTAGGAAAACCAAAACCCAGAGTTTCACACATAACAAGGCTAGTGGCACCAGGAAAGGTGGAATCACTTAGTAGCAATTGTTGCGTGTACTATTTTTTTTTTTTTTTTTAATACATTACAAAACATCTTAGTAAATACAATGGGTCAGGTAATGATTTCCGTGGAGATAGATCACAGACTAGGCAGCAGCAGGCACTTTACAGAAATGGTAGAGAAATTCTCTCATTATACAAAAGCAAGGGAATAGTTTGAAAAAGTAACTATGACAGTTGTCTTTAGCAGGACAGAACGGGAACCAAAGTAATAAAATCATCAGTGGTGGCAGGGCTCATTCTTAGCCCACAGACTTGGTTTATGCACAGTTCTTTTTGAGAAGAAAATTAAATATCTGATGTAGAAATGTATGAGAATAAAACCTTGTACCACCAACAATTCTGTAAATAAAAGTGTATTCCTTGAGATCTGGTTCAAAACTGTGGAGCAAACTCCACAAAGAAAGAACAACTACCAGTGTGATTATCTTCCAGTCCAGCTGCCCTTCCCTGACTTCATGTATTTAAGTAGAACCTAAGTTAAAACACTAAGAAAAAAGACAATCAAATATTTAAATGATGAAAAAAAAAATCTATATGAACTAGAAAATTGTTTCGAGGTGACAGAAGCTCCCCAGATAGATGAAAAATCAGGATGGATTTTGGCCATGATGTAAAATAAGATGAAAGAATCAACACAAAATTATTTTACCCGTTCAAGGGATACAAATGTCAGATACAAGAAGCTGTATCGCAAAGATTGAACTGTCAAAATCCCAAATTTTTAGTTTGTAGAGGACAAAGGCTTTTCTGAGGTTGTTTTGCATATTAAAACCAGCATGCAGTAGGCTGCAGCAAGATGCTCCTATACTTCTAATGCAGCTTTTCTGAATGGGACTTCTAGGACTAGAAAATAAAGTTACAGTTCAGTTGAGGAATATATCGTGGCGTATACAAACTCTTGGCACTTTGTCAATAGCTGGCTCTCACTGTGTAACTGAAATTGAAAATAACCAAACGATACCAGGGACTGCTAGAGGCCGCGTGGCCCAACCCCCTGCTAAAGCAAGGCCTCCTTAGATCAGGCTGTGAGGAAGTCACGCACAAGCATTCTGAATTGCCACAGCAAGGAAGCGCTGATGAGCGCCACATCTAGTCACTCGTGTCAGCAGGCACCAAAGACAAAACCACAGCTCTATCAAAAAGTACTTGCCCCCCTCCCGTGTGAGTTAATGAGCCTGTGCAAATACCATAACATCACAGTGAAAGCGATAAATGGCTCTTGAGACGTAAATGCAGATGCACTCCCGTGTACCTTTTGGATTTCTTGCTCTCTTTCTGCATGTCTGGTCTCTATATGCTTGATTTTCTTTTCCAGGCACAAGAAATGTTTCATTTCAGGACTCTGGCTCTCCTTAGCCTCTCTCAGTTCTTCTAACAATTTTGTCACCTACAGTTTGAGAGAATTGATCAAAGTCGTTATCACTGTGTTAGGCAGTGGATAAACCAGAATCCTTTCAAAGTGTACCTGTGGTGTTTAATCATTCCATTCCAAAGCTGCAGAAAGGAAAACAAAAGAGAAATCCCCTGTATTTAAAATCTTAAACAGGGGCTCGGGGACTTAGGTTAGGACCTTTCATTGGTAAGAAGTGGCCTGAGGATATGAAAATCTAATCCGTTCTGATCAATCCAATCCTGCTCATAATATGTTCTCAGGCGATTATTCAAAGTCAGTTTTTATATGTCTGAACATACTAAAAAATTAATAGCGAATATTATGTTCTGATGCTCTTGCACAACCCCTTCTCGCACCTTGGGTAAAGATCAAATATAAAATGTACCAGTGTATTTCTAAGGAATAAATTAAGAAAAGACACGCTGCTAACACACGTGATTACAAACCCCCTTTGGTCTAATAATTACCACGTCTGTGTAAGTCCATGACTTACAACTGATTTCCTAATCCTCCAGAAATTCAGGTAAGTTTTCTTATAAAACTCTTCTGGTTTATTCTCATTCTTTGCCTATTCTGAGTAACTTGATACTTCATGTAGCACCCTAAGTCTTTTTTGGTCACTTTCTTAATGCGCATAAGTAAACTGAAGTGAAAGCTTTGCAGTTTTTATCCTTTATTATAACCCTTACCTCCCCTTACCCAATACCTCTGCAAACTGCTAACCCTTCCCAAGCAGTCAGCCATCCTTGGCTCCCTGCTGCTGAATTCAAGTGGCTGGAAGCACTGTGCATTTTGGAAAGTGTTGCCACTCTTACTCAGAAGTGACTCTGAGGTGGCTTACTATTATTTCCATTTTTTAATTTTCCATTTTGAAAATAACAAGACCTATGTTATTACATTTTTCCTGTCCATTTCTCCAGCAGCCTTGAACCTATGGGCCAATTTCAGCCCCATGTCAGAGTCTTAGTTCCACAAGTTCTGTGAAAATGAGTGTCTGATGCGTGTCTGCTAAGTTGCCGCACTGAAGGAAAGGGCCGATGCGTGATCTCAAACACACAATTAAATTCAAGAAAAAGTCATGCAGGAAAGATGTTATGAAGGGGAAAGAGCCCCAGGAGAAAATGGGCTCCATATATTTTGCCAGCAACAGAACTATGTTAAATATGAAGCTGTGCTACATGCAAGCTGTTAGGCAAGAGAAGTAACAGGTAATGGAAAACATCCATGAGCAGCATTTCTGAAATTCATATTCAAACAGCAATCTTCCAGTTTGCCTTTTTTGAGGTACCACCATTTTGGACAGAGGACTCTCAATCCTATTGCAAACGGTAGCGGTTTTCCCTATCGTGACTAATTGCATTTGCAGGTTTGGTTGCCTTCTTTTTTCAGCTCAACTTATTTAACCATTTAATGCTTAAAATGTATTTTAAAAGCAGCACAGATTGTTATTTAAATAAAGCAGTCATATTAGAAGGCAAAAGCAAGGGTTTACTTTGATATTTCTGTAGAGTCCTGCAACAATTTTTGTAACAAGGGCGCTCCATTACATTTTCTTAAATGCCAGCATCTGGAATTCAGCCTGTACCACGTAGGGCAGATAGGATGACTATCCCCTTAACCATCGCTATCCTTAATAACCTGTACAGCAAACAGGCATAGAAGAAACATATCTGTTGAATACTGTTTGTCTCGTTGTACTCTTGCCCTGTTTTCCCAGGAGGAAGTATTCTAGATACACCAAGGTCACTGGCGTAAACAAGCTTTGTATGGAAAGGCAACATCTATCACTGGATTCATAATACGGCCCCAAAGTCTCAGGCTTTATTTTGCAAATAGGGAGCTTGTTTAATAGGAAGTCATCTTTTTCTCCCTACAAACCCTCACTTTTCTATAAATACTTCGCAACAGAGGTGGAATTTTTCATGGGCAAAATAAATAATGAATGAGTTTAGTGAGACTGAGATTAATTCTATTAAGTATGTACTTAACACATACTGATAATTCTTTCATTTCTTCTAAGTAAGGGTAGCAAATGAGATTAAGCGTCTGGAGCTCTCAGTCCCTTACAGAATAGGAGAGTTCTTTTTAATAACTTGTCGTGGTTTAACCCGGCTGGCAACTCAGCACCACGCAGCCGCTCGCTCACTCCCCCCCTTCCCTCAGTGGGATGGGGGAGAGAATCGGAAAGAAAATAAAAGGTTAGAGCCGAGGGCTGAGATAAAGACAGTTTAATAAGAGAAAATAATAATAATAGTAATAATGAGAATGATAACCCCCCCCCAAGCATGACGTTCTATGGTATGGAATAGCTCTTTGGTCAGTTTGGGTTAGCTGTCCTAGCTGTGCTGTACTCCCAGCTTGTTATGCACCTGGGCAAGCAGGAGAAGCTCAAAAAGTCCTTGAGTAGTCTGAGCACTACTTGGCAACAGCTGAAAACATCAGTGTGTTATCAACATTCTTCTGGTACTAAATCCAAAACACAGCACTATGCTAGCTACTATGAAGAAAATTAGCTCTATCCCAGCTGAAACCAGGACATAACTCTTGCAGGTTAATTACTGTATCATCAAAATGAAATAAAAATTAGCAATGTTCATACACCAAGAAGATGGTGAATTAAGCATAGGCCCAACGCTAAGACAGGCTATATCTTCCTCCTGACCAGGAGGTGATAAAAAAAGAAGATTGGCAGCATTTTAAGAACAAGAGTGTAGTCGATAGTTCAAAAAGCTGCAGCTCAAAGACACAGCAATTTTATGCAATATTAACCCTAAAATGAAAACATGAACAAGTGTAATTTTTAGATTATATGCTATTAATAGAAGATTAGGAAAAACCTAGATACCTCTCTCACAAACCAGTGAATTTCAGAAAGACCAGTACAACAAACCTTCTATTAAGAAGAGACCTCAAGTTTCATAGATATCAAAGGAGAAAACCAAGAATATAATTGCCTAAGTCAGTTTTATGGCAATGAAGGATGAGAAAAGGAAGGCTTTATCCAAATAAAGAATTTGAAAACAATAAAAAGATATCCCCTTAATAAAGAAAATTTTCTGTGGTCTATTTACTACCCATCACAACTCTCAAAGAAGAGGCTATGAATGCTTGGATTAACCTGCTGGTCAATTTTCATACAGATGTCAGACATTTCTAAATAATAATATCAAAGGAGGTCGAAGTTCTACCTTCTGTGCTGTGTTGTTCTCTTCTTCACATTAGAAAAATATATTGCATTCTCAGGTACAACTCATGTAGAAGAAACTGTTTCTGAGACTTATTTCCTATATATTATTTGAGGCTTTACAAGGATGAACGTGAAAACTCTTATAAAAGAGTACCCCCAATCCGGAATTTAAATATACCTCTTTTTGTAGGAGTTCCTCTCGCATTTGTGAAACTAGAAGGGCTTCCTGATGTCTCTGTTGTTCACCGATTTGTTCTTGGAGATGTTTTATTAATATCTACAAAAAGGTTAAAAATAGTCATCATTAATGTAAATACCCACAACAACAACTGAAGACCTATACAGGAAAAATACACCAAAAATATAGTCAGGATTGTAGTACTGCAGGTATAAGTGATGCATATATTAAATGCTACCTCTAACATGTGTGCTATTTAACAGGCCTCACGTGGACTCTTAAATAGCACACATGTACATACATGGTACAGGAAAACTAGTCTCAATCTTCAGGTTAACTTTCCCCAGTTAAAAAAAGTTCTGAAATAATCTGAATGCAATAGCTCTTCCTACTGTCATACCGTGTGTAAAACTTCTCCCAAAATTTTAATGCACAAATATAATCACAGGCCCAGGTCCTGATGAGGACCGAGGATCCTGATGAAGATCAGCCACCCTGATACCTGCTGGAGGAACAACACAGCACAGCAAAAGCAATCCAGGAGGTCCCTGGAGAGTATTGGTGACAACTTCCTGACCCACATGATAGAGGAGCCAGTGAGGGGAGGTGCTCTGCTGGGCCTTAAATTCACAGGCAAGGAAGGGTTTGCTGGGGTCATGAACATCAAAGGCAACCTTAGCGCAGTGACCACGTGTGGCAGGGTGTTGGCTGGCAGGTGGTAAGCAATTGCATTGTGCATCACTTGCTTTGTATTTTCTTTTACCATCATCATTATTATTATTATTATTTTGCCTTCCTTTGCTGTCCTATTAAACTGTCTTTATCTCAACCCATAAATTTCACTTTTTTTTCCCCACAATTCTCTCCCCCATTCCTCTGGGGTGGGGGGTACTGAGCAAAGAGCTGTGTGGTGTTTAGCTGCCTGCCAGGTTAAACCACACCATCGTAAGATTGTGGAGTTCAGGATCCTGAAAGGAAGGAGCAGGCAAAAAGCATGATCACAACCATGGACTTTGGGAGACCAGACTTTGACCTTTTCAAAATTCTGCTTTGAAATAATCCCATGGGATGGGGCCCTGGCAGGGGAAGAGGGGCCCAAGAAAGCTGTTTGATGTTCAAGTATCACCTCCTCTGAGCTCAAGAGCAGTCTATCCCAACAAGCAGAAAGTCAGGCAAAAATTCCAGGAGGCCTGCATGGATGAGCAAGGAACTCCTGGAAAAACTCAAACATAAAAAGGAAGCCTACAGACGGTGGGAACAGGGCAGGTATCCTTGGAGGAATATAGGACACTGTCGGAGCATGGAGAGATGTGGTTAGGAAAGCCCAAGCCCACCTGAAGTTGAATCTAACAAGACTGGCAAAGGCAACAACAAGGACTTCTGTAAATACTTAAGTGGGAAACAGAATACTAGAGAAAATGTGGGCCTGCTGATGAATGGGGCAGGGGCCCTGGTGACCCAGGACATGGAAGAGGCTGAGGTACTGAATGCCTGCTTCACCTCAGTCTTTAACAGATATCTGTATATGATGAATGTATCTACTGTATCTTACCTCTTGTGTTGAAATTCTGCTGTTTAGTTCAGCTACTTTAGAAGCAGAATGCTCCTTCGCGTGCTCGCAGAGAATCTTCTCCACTTCCCTCTGATGGGAAGCTTTCAGAGATGCAATATATTCTGCTGTGTCCTCCCGTATCCTGAACAGAGTGAGAGGAAAATAAAACATAGTAAAGCAGCTACAGACAGTTCTTCAAAAAGCCAGCGAAGTTTCTCAGTTGAACATAAGAAATATCAAAAACATTAAAGGCGGCATGTCTTCGAAACTTCGTAACAAAACCTCACAAGATAGCACCACTGTTACTTCTACTGCTCTGGAGGGATGGCAGGGTGTGCCTCATTTAATCAGAAACAGCTAGAAAACAGAAAACTCAGCCAATCACCTTCTTTTGGCGCAGAGAGAGAGAGAGAGAGAGAATAGATGCTTTTAAATCATAATTCAGCTGTCTTATCTCAGGTATCTATTTTAGAACGGAATGCGTTGCAATATAAATATGCCAATTTCCTCTACTTTGACTGTGAAGGGATTTAAGGAAGATGGGGTGAAGTGTAAAGTTTCTACAGTTGGTCAAGTAAATCCCACAGAAAGCATACCCCAGTTTGAAGGAAAGTATGTGTACCAAATATTAATGCTACACAATGCAAATACAAAGCATTTAAAATGCAACGATTTATAGAGATCTTTTTACTCAAAACCATGACAAATTATAGCATTAATAAGAAGAATTAATATAGGTTTGCCTGTAGAAAGAATCGTGACAGTGCACTACTCTAAAAAAAAAACCCCAAAACCTCAAAAACAACCCCCAAAGCCCAAAAAAAACCAGTAAAAATTAAGTATAAGGTAGCTTCACACATGGCTGACATGTTAATGTGTCACTTCAATCCTGTATCAGCACTTTAGCAAGGTTTTTAAAGGAACACCTTGAGCATTTACCTTCGTATGTTATTTTCAGAGTAAGCCAGTGTTGCTTGAGACTTCACCCTCTGCTGGTTCATTTCTAGAGACAATCTTTCTAGCTCCTCTTTCAGCTGTGCGTTTTCTTGCAGCACTTCCGAGAGATTAGAATCAGAAAAGGCATGCGGTTGGTATATTTTGTCATTGTTGAAAATGGGTTCACTGTTGCTGGAATTCCTTTTATCTGTTGCTGAGGTATTCTTTTTCAAGATCTCTGTAGTATTTTCCTTATTACTGGTCTTATTTCTCAAATTATTATCAGACAACATCACCATCCTTTCTTTTTGAAGCTTCTCTACAGTTTTTGTAAGGTCTTGTATTTCTCTATTTTTGGTGACCAGTTCTTCATTTAGTTTTAACAGTCTGTCTTTCGTGTTACCTTGTTTCATTTGAGAGTCTGTGGACTCTAAGTCTTTATTATCCTTTTTACTTCTGAGTTTTAATTGGGAATTTTGACTTTTAAGGTTTTCAATTTCTGTCTGGAGGTTTTTAACGGTGATCTGATGGGTCTTCTTTAGATTCTGAAGCTCTTGTTCAAGTTCTGTAGAATTGGCTTTATCACCATTCAGTTTTGGCGATTCGCTCATAAACTTGTAGGCAAGTAGTTGCTCAAGCTCTACAAGTCTTTGCTCATACTGTATCTAAGAAAGGGGAGTGGGAGAAGGGGAAGAAAAAGCAGTTTCCTCAAGCGTACTTTTATTATTAGCTCTTCCTATTATTCTTTAAAATTACTGCACATCTGAAGCAAGATTTCACAAGGCAGGATACACATCAGTGTTACTAACAACACTACTCCATCAGTTCAGAAAATTCAGAAATTTTCAGAGTGAAAAAATCATGCGACGCAAACTTAAGTCTGCTGTACAACAGAAGTACTCTAAACATTTACTACAAAGTAATCCTCTACTCACAATGAGTGCGGTAACTATGGGAAAGAAAATTAAATTGACAAGAAACTATTTCATTTTTATATAATTGAGTTGTCTTCAGATGTTATCAACTTGGACATCTTATCTTAATATAGTCTTTAATTTTTTAAACATCTGTCATGTATTTGCCATGTGTCAGTGTGCAAACATTACTGTCACATGCCTCAAAATTGTACTTCACATTTTAAAAAACATCTTAAATTTTAACAGGACAGATTTCTATTTTTATTTATAAGTATGAATCTAGAAAAATGAATTCAGAGAGACACAGAATCTTTCTTTGTAATGAGCTGAGGAAAACCTAACCTGGATAGCCTCTGAGGAAAGCATGAGAAGTTATTCACATGGAGAAAAGGAGGAACCATGGGTATGCTTTCCTTTCCTGCACATTAAGCACCTGTGCAGTTCACCTTTTCCTGGAAGTAAAATGCCAGACTGCCATGCTTCCTAACACAAGCCTTAAGACTCATGTAATTTTTGGACAGAACATTTAGTGTTCTCAGAAGATCCCTTCAGAAATGCTCAGTCACCAGACCTTTGAAACCACAGCCTTTGGTACAGCAAGCAATTAGGTAAGCAGCTACTCTGACCCACAGGATGAAACCCATCTGTCTTACTTGTAAGAATTAAATTATTACGCTTCAAGAACTTGTCCTCTCAGCTTCAATACTACTCTAACAATTTCAATGCTCTTTTTTTTGTAGGTGCTAAAGGTACTGAAATTCTGGTTATAAATTATTTGAATATTTTTTCCCATGAAGATGGTCTTTGCCTTCAGTTTTCACCACTACTCTGTGTTAGACCCCAGTAACCCGGTGACCGTTACCTGTAGAGTAGAGTAAGCAACAACCCTCCAACTTTTACCTTTATTTTTTGAAATTGTTGTTCCATGGCACGGAGACTTTTTTTAGCTTCATCATCTTTACCTTCAAGTTCTGTTTCTAACTTTTTTATTCTTCTCTCCAAAAAATCAACTGTGTGTGTTTTAGCTGAAAGATCATTAGTTTTCTCAGCAGCAGCAGCAGCATAAATTAAAGCAGGCAAAGAATTTGGATACCTTCTTTTTAGAATTCCTTCCATTTCTCTGATCTATAAAAATAAAATTAAGTCAGAAGTCAAAAAGAATTAAGTTCTAATGAAAAGTGAATTGAAATAAGTGACAGAATGTTAACAAATGTCATCCACTTAAGCTGGGCAAATAATGAAAATTAGAGATGCGTCTTCAGATTGTCTTATGTCAAACAGACCTTTTAGTTACTTTCTTAGCACTTAAGTTGTATATGGCTCTTAATACTGTTAAAGTATTTGCTTTTTTCCTGGTCTTACATTCATGTTCTACTTTTCCAACTGTTGCAAAGATATTTCATAACAGTATTGAAATTATTCTCCCAGTAACAGATTATATGCCTTTTGTTTTGGAGTCTGCAATAAAGTAAAACTAAACCTTGCATGCAAGACTGATGACAAGACCCTCTTTTATCTACGGACAAGATATTCTTCACGTTAGAATACTGCAGAGGCTCTTTCCCATTCGTCCTGCATCCCTTCCAAATGCAGCTGTCTTCTCCTAAAATTCAGAAAGGCCCACTCCCACCTGACCTTTCCTCAGTAGCAGCATGGATTGTAAGGTCTCTACCCCCCCAATTTTCATGAATCTTGTAGGAATCCAATAAAATTTAAACCCCTACTCTTGAATCAGCTCGGTTGAAATTGGTTCAGGGATTGCCGAACATATACTGAAGGAATCTTAGAAGATAAACAACATGCTTGTGTGTGCTTTTGCCTTCTTGCCCCTTTCCAAGAAACTCTAAACAGTATGTTAAAGGATTTTAAAAGGGATAGCAGTAAGTAGCTTATTAGAACATAGTAGCAGAAGAGCCCTTTGCAAGTAAATAATTGAAGCCTTTTGTGTTAAGAGTGTTCCATAGCACAAGTTACTTTATCATAGGGCTTCATTCAATGCTTTATCCTTATGAAAGGGCTGGTAAGTGTTGTAACAGACTGAGTAACTGAAATAAAGGTTAAATGGAACACAGTTCTATTATTGCATACTTGTCGCTCAAGATCCTGAATTCTTTTAGCATCTGCTGCTCTGTCTCGCAAACGTTTCTTCTGTTGCATACTCTGGTCTCCAGCTTCAGCTCTGAGCTTTTCAACCTATACAATTTATGAGAAAATAAATTGAAATATATATTCAGAGACATTGTCCTGTAGTACAAAAGCAAGCATTTCAAACACACACAATATAACGGAAGTATTCTGCAACTTAAAACCTGGTAATAGTAATTTCTGCACGAACTGATTCTTCAGGTTCTTAAACTTAAGTTACAGCTTCTTCGAGGCACTTAAGATCAAAGGAGCTGAACTAGCTACGGAAATCTAGAAGAGAACTTCAGCTCTGGGACATTCTTGTCTTCAGACCAGGAAATATGCTTCTTTCTCCCATACTTCCAGTATGCAGGCTTGGTTAATAAGCTATAATATAAAGTACTACAGTGTCATTACATGAATTCAGGGTGAGTTAAGGAAATAGTTTGTGTTTTGCAAGGCTATGCTCCATGATGAGATACAGAAACAGCCAAAAAGCAACATTGTGTTGTGCCTAAATAAGAGCTGACTCTCAAGATCAGGGGAAGGAACGTGATAGCTAATACTCCTGCACTCCCATAAAGTCTGGCCACAAAGACTCAAAGCTTTAATCTAAAATTGAATTTCCTATCTGTGTCAGCCACTGCGATCATTGTACAGGGATATTACACCTTGTATAGTTGCAAGTATTCCTACCTTGATTTCTCTCTAACATTGGCAATGTTAGCCTAAGTAATGTTTTTATGCCAGCATAGTTTGACTAATTTGTTTCTGTGAAGTCAAAGCACTTCATTGTTTTTAAACACCAGTCTGCCCTGGAGAAAATGCAAATAAAAATATTTTCTGTCACAGCAATGATATATTGATCAAAGTTTGATATGGTGTTGTTTAAGGGATCTCCTTCCCTGGCTGCTCCTTCAGAAGCACCTCCTTCCATCTGTGATCTCTCTAATAAACCACCAAAAAATTCCAAGATTAATTGTATTTTATCATTGGTAAAATTCTTTATTTCTGTGAATCTTAAGTCTAATCTCCTGACAAAAAAGCAATGCAAATCTCAGAACTATTCAAGGTTCATATATTAGTTTTGCTTGCTTTACATTTTGAGCATTTTGTGTTTTTCCTCCCTACTACAGCAATCAGAGAATTTTTCTAAGAAATAATTTAGAATGGGTACTTAAGAGAAAAAGTGAGTGTCACCTGTGCTATCATAGAGTAAAAAGGAAGAAAACAGAACGACAAGAGGGATGTTCCAAGTTGTTAATGTAACAACGGACTTCCTTCTCTTACTCAAATAATTTGCAGGTTTTAAAGAAATATATTACTTTTGCAATCATCAAGATATCCAATAGGAGCAAAACCAGATTTTAAGCATTCTGTACTTGCAACTGTTACTGCATATGCAGTAATATCAATTTGGCATTTGATTTAAAGGTTATAAAGAGTTTACATGGTTTTTTTCCTTGAAAAAAGTGGGATTATTATGAAGGACAGAATTCCATTATAGTCATCACTAGAAAAGAAATAATTTTAAGTTCCAACTTCTTAGATAAAGCTAGATATTACCACCTCTAGTTTTAGTTTCTCAATTTCTTCTCTTGCATCTTTAAGACGGGCTGTATCTCTATCCATAAGATCTTGATTTTCTGCATACCACTGAAGTCGTCTTTTTAAATGAGTAATTTCCTGTTTGTATGATTCTTCTATAATTTTAAATTCGTAAGTCTTCTCATCTACAATAATAAAACATCCTTAGTATTGTTTTATTAGTAATTATGTATTAAAGAGGTAACTGGTCAACACGATCCTTCTCAGGACATTTCAGACATTTACTCCTTTGACTATCCTGTTACTGCATTAAAATTTTAAAACCAGACCCTGATTAGGATTTTAAAATGCACAGCATTTGAAAAAAAAAAAAAAAAAACCAACAACAAAACCCCAAACCCCCCAAAACCCCAGCCAAACCTTTTTTTCCTCTCATACATAGTAGTACGCAATGGTTCACAGCTTACCATGGGAAGTATGGAAAACAGAATCCACAGAATCACAGAATCGTAAGGGTTGGAAGGGACCTCAGGAGATCATCTAGTCCAATCCCCCTGCTAAAGCAGGCTCACCTAGGGCGTGCTACACAGGACTTCATCCAGGCAGGCTTTGAATATCTCCAGAGAAGGAGACTCCACAACCTCCCTGGGCAGCCTGTTCCAGTGCTCTGCCACCCTCAGAGTGAAGAAGTTCTTCACTCTGAGGGATCTATTCTTCACTCCCAGTGGGATCTATTCTTGATCACGTTCTAGTAAACAAATTTCAGTAACAACATGGATGACAATATAGAATATATGCTTAGATATGTATTGACCATACTCCTCCCATTTAGGGATCATACATTTTGAGGAGACATGGAGGTAAATATTACAAATCTTAGCACTTGTGATGCCTGATACTGGAAGTGGAAGAGTCCCGTTTCTGGCCCTCTCATTAAGAAAGCAAACATCAAACTGGAAAGAGTTCTGGTAAGAATGTTGGAAAAAAAAGTCACAAGGCATAAGTTATAGGTAAAAAATGGGCAAGATCTAAATGGGAGACTAAGATGCAACATTGTAAATCTTTTCTTATGAACAAAGTTGTCATATTAATGGAATCATGTTTTCCATGCCCAGTGGAAGATGGGCAAACAATCAAACTTAATAGGCAACAACAAAGAGTTTGGCTGGATACAAGAAAAGGCTTTCTAATAGAGTGCCAAAGGTACTGTAGCATGTCCTTCACTGTATGCTTTTATTAGAAGTTTAGCCAATATTTGGAAGTGGTCTAAATGCATTTGACTAAGTAACGTTTTAGTAAGAAACAAGGTTTAGTTATATATTTATCTAGGGAAGCACAGACTAGGCAAAATTATTCAAGAAAATGAAGATGCTTTACCTGATGTGGATGCAATCTGGACTTTTGCTAAATCTCTCTCCTTCTTTGCTTGTCCCAAGTCTACCTCAAGAGCTTGCTTATCTTGTTTGAGACGTCTTATCTCTTCCTGTAATTTAGTTTCTTCCTTCTGAATTTTGGAGAAAACAATAAGACAAGAAAAACTAAACCCACATGGTCATACAAAAAACCCGAACATGCTTTTTCACCATAAAATGATTAAATCACAACAGTTGCGTCAGACCACAGAAGCAATGAGGTTTTCTAGCTTTGGTATTATTCTCAGGCCTTACTATAGCAGAGCATAGGAATACTTAAGCTAAACATTAAAAAAAAAAAAAAAAAAAAAAAAAAAAAAAAAAAAAAAAATTTTTTTTTTTTTTTTTTTAGTAACTCTTACATAACTGTCTTAAAAGTAGAAAACAGCTGCCATTTGAGATGGTCAGTAAAGAAAATAGCTTTACTTATTTCTAAGACTTAAGACTGTAGCCTAAATGGACAGATGCATTGTCCAACAGTTCATCTTACTACATTCGATTTCTCCCCATTTTCTCCATGCGCTCTGTTCTGTTTACATGCAATCACTAGCAAACTTTGAGACTAAGTAGGACAAAAGGTCTCAGTGCCAGCCTCTGGAGATGGAGGCCCTTGGTCCTAGGGATCCACAGGTACAGGGAGCAGCAACTGGGCGAGGAAGCTGAGATTTTTGGGGCCAGCCAGTGAATGGACATTTAGGGCCAGCAATGGCCAGCATGTGCACATATGTGTGTTACCACTAGCGAACTCCTATCTTGATCTGCTGAACAGTATCAGCCCCTATGTGCCCCTTGTGTTTTGTCCAAGAGTACTGTTTATACTTGTGTGGTGTGAGCAAAGGCACTGCTCTCCATTATCTGTGTGCCTGACCGTGTTAGTGTTGTCTGTGTGTCTCTCTCCACCTTTGGGTCTTCAGCCTCATACAGGCTGGACCTAAGGACAGGGAAGTGTATCAACAACACCTATGAGGTTGGAACTAGGGGAGCCCCTGGAGTCTTAAGAGCTCAAAGTCAGCTCTATCAGACCAGGAACACCTCTGCTGGTCCTGAAGCTTACTGGATCCAGATCCTCTTATCACCTACCTAACCAGTTGTTGTTTGGTTTTGGTTTTCTGGGGGTTTGTTTTCTTTTTATTTAAAAAAAAACCCAACAAAACAAAACCCACCCAGAAACAGAAGCAGCAGCTTTTAATTTCTGATCTGTCAGAGGAAGTATGTACCAGAACAGTGCCCGGTTGCAGTAAGCAGAGCAACAGAAGTTCCTGAAAACCTTTAATTTTAACATGAAGCTTACTAAACATCCTCCATCAAAAACACAAGCATCTGTAGGACTACAAAAAAGGTTACGTGAGTGAATAACAAACGATTCTTTTCACTTTGGTGTTCTTTTCTAGAACTTACTTTGGACAGAACTGAGATTTATGTGAGAAAGCTATAGAGGTATTGCTACTTTTATGCAAGCTCTCACAAGATATTTCAGAATTGCCAGGAAACATGGCAACACTGCACTTCTTTCAGTGAATCCGTGTCTTAGGGGATTACCTCCAAAAGTTAATTTGATCAGACACTTGTGATATACGAGTATGGCAAATAATTAATGCCGTAGAAGAGCAGCATGCTCCACTACTTAATTTGCATTATTAGTCCACTACTTAATTTACATTATTACTCCACAATATGAATGGTTATGCGTTTTTTCTAAGAACACATAAAAACCAGGCTTGGTGTATACTTACCTGTGCTGCTCGAAGCTCTGAAATCAGTTCTGTGAAACTCTGGTTTCTGGCTGGTTCAGAATTCTGCATGATTCGTGACTGGACATTAGTCTTTTCTATCTTTTCTCTAAATGGCAACAGCAAAGTTAGGCAATGTGGTGACCTGGCACACTAACAGTGGCGTACTAACCCCCCACCCCACCCCAAACAGTACCACTAAGTCAATCCGTGCCGGCTCAAAACAAAGAAAGAAGCAACTAAGCAGTACATCTTTATACAAAAAAAAAGTCACCTGTATGGTGAAATCTTCTCACCTTGCACAAACTTGCTTGTTAGGACTACACAAGGGAGGGAAACAAAACCTACTTTGCATCAGTGGAACTCAACTACAGACGTCTCCCAAGCAAAGATTTGTAAATTAGGAGTACACCCAACTGCTAGGTTTTTATCTCATTACTAGCACAGGACACAAATCTTACAGTGCAGTGAATCTAATGATTCCTTCACTACCAGGATCTCTCGTGGCCCCTCATCTATTGTGTATCTTACAACAGTATCAAAATGTTTTGATGCCTGAGTAGAGCTGTAACACCAGAACGAGTGTAGCACATGTATTACACATTCTGATCTGAATAAGTATTTGAATTTTAGCACTGAAATATTCCCCAAATGGAAGACGCTAGTCTTCCCACAGGTCTGCAACGTCAGCAAGAAGACTAAGAAATTAAGTGCCCATAATCAACATCAATGATTTCTCGAAAGAAAAAACAAAACCACAAACCCAAGAAACACTAGAAAACACACACCTGACAGACTCTGCAGTGATTCTTCATAAATAAATAAACACAGCTGAAAACTCCAGAGTTTTTAGGTCAGATGTTTAAAGGAGCCTACCTTAGGGCTATTAATTCAGACATTAAACACTGATTCTCCTTAAACATTCGTTCCTCATTTTTTTTGTTTTGGATTTGTAGCTCTTTCATTTGTTTGTATAACCTCTCATTTTCCTAAGATGAAACAGACAAAGTTAAAGAATGTTCATTAATAACTGTTTTATCCAGTTCAAAACCAACTGTCTACGACTTGCATAATCTGCCTGCTGATACAGCGGAAGCAAACGTTAAGTGGTTTATTACTAAACTTTTTAAAATGGATATCTACTTTCATTGTCTTTAGGCTGAAGTAGCACACAGTGACCTCTACAGTCTTGTCCCAGTGTCTGTTCACTCTGGAGAACCTAGGTCAGTTCCCCTGCAAAGCTAGCCCAACTATATTATAAAAGCACATACATGGGTGGGTGCTGATAGACCAGAGCTCAGCCTGCCCATGCTCCAATCCTGTGGACACAAACCATCACTGATTCAGGATGCTCACAGCCATTGTGCCTATACCAAGAAATGCTGCTGAGCACCAGCTGGTTAAACTAACCTATTTGATTTTACAGCAGCAAGTATGCCAAGGGATTATTAAGCTTGCATTATCTATTTCTACACTTGACTAAGTAATAAAAATCAGGGACACTAATAAGGTTTCCTTGAAATCAGCCGCTCTGATCCTGTGAAAAACATCTTAAAACCAGAACCCTCCAGATTTCTCATTTGGCTTAAAAATACTAGTTTTCTTGTACATTTGGGGCAAAAAGTTTGTGTTTCTTTATTGGTCATAAAGTATTTTCCTAGTTCTCAACTGACAAGTCAGCCTATTTTTACAATTCAGAACAGTTACAGGGAATCGTGGAAAAACTTAACCCAAACGAGACACGTGTGAAATGCTTTTTAAATGTGCAATACATGTTTGCCCTTCACACCTATGTTTCATCCACTTTTTAGACGGCAAGATAACTGCAAAAAAAAAAAAAAAGTAGCAACCATCAAACAATATTTTTTCTGAAACTGGCTAGGACACAGCTCAATATGCTGTGTGCTATACCTGTTGATAACCTTGAATAATGACCTCTTGATCTTCGATTTCTTTTTGTATTTGTGCCAGTTTTTCCTCAGTGACAGGAACTGTTGCTGTATGATGGGTCCATCTCTTTTCTTGAGTCAGCTCTTCCATACTTCTTAACTTTCAGAAAGAAAGAAGACACACGATTAATAAGAAAGTTTTGTTAGCAATATGGAATTCTCTATAAGACTGGACTTTGATAATATAAATAGATCAAACTTTTCATTAGGATATGAAAGCAGACCAACGAGCCAACCATATTACTGGAGTTTTACAGGATCGTTACAAAACACGAACAAAGCATAAAAAGTTTGGGAAAAGTTAACAAAGTTTTACCCTCTCTCTTCTGTATCTAGACAGGAGGGTACAGTGGAATAACCCTGGGAATATGCCATATAGACAAAACACAACATTGAAAAATGCATCCAGTAAATAAACAATATCTCATCATATGGTACTTCACTATAACAAGTAGTATGGGTTTGGGTTTTTTGGTTTTGTTTTGTTTTGTGTTTTTTTGTGGTTTGGGTTGGTTTTTTTTTTAAACACATAACAGTGAGGTAAATCTTTGCAAAAAACCTGCTGCAGAAATTTCAAAACAGCAAACTAAAAGAACTTGGGATAACATACTTTATCTCTGTAGACCAAAAAAAAAAAAGATCATGTCTTATAAGCAATAAATGTAACAGCGGGTATGCATTTACAGACTAGCAGTGTGTGTGAAAATCAGGATTTTCTGCTCATTAACTCACGTAAAATAGCATTAATTTAATCTCCAGAAGCAATGTTTCTCCTATTCTACAGTAATGGGACACAAGAGATGATAAAGTACCTTACTCTGAAGAACATAGTTTTCCTGACCCAACTGAGAAAGCTCTTTTTCATGCTGTGTTTTCAATTCTACTATCTTTGTCTCCATTTCTTTCTCTTTTTGTGAAACCGTGCTGGTTAGCTGTTGAATCAAATCACGAGCTGTACTCAGGTCCTCCTCTGCAACTTGTACTCGTTTTAGCAAATATAGTTCTCTATCACAACTTTTGATAGGGGAAAATGATAAATCCTAGTGAAGAGAAAAATCCAGGGAAACATTACAATGAGTTGATTGCTTACCAAAAATTCTCCTCATGAATTTTATTTAACTGTCTTGTCTGGCTCTCAGCAACTACATAAGGCACTTGAAAAGAAAAAAAAAAAAAACCCAGCAAAACATCTTGCATTTACTTTAATGAGCTACTTTCTCATTTCCAAAATACATGAGGAAAACAAGCCAGAAAACCACCAACAAACATACACCTCTCGTATGAGAGCCACTACACAGCTACCAAAATTATTCCATTATGCATCTTACTTTTTGAAAAGCAGTAATTATTTAGATATTCAATGAGTGTGTGTACATATTTTTTTTTTTTTTTTTATACAGCTCATAAGGAATAAGGAAAATCCATCATGGTGCTGTAAATTCAGTAATCTTGGAGAAGACAGAAGATACAATTAAATTTTCAATGCAATACAGACAGAAAAAAATCCCAAACAGTGGTACTATTTAACATTCATAATAGAATACTTTAAGTATAAGTTTTATTTAAAATTTCCCCCTTTTCTACCACAAAATGGTATTTTTTTGGAAATTAATAAGCATTCCAACTTTAAGTATACAGAACCACCCAAGCAGTAGAATCATCCAAGCAACTGAAAAGCAGTATGGTTATCCTTGCATATTTTAAAAGCAAAAACTAGTATTTGACTAAAGAAAAGTCTTTATTCAATTTTTCAGCATTTTCCAATCTTGCGATAATTATTAAGAGTCTTGACAAAATAGGCTTGCAAACCAAGTTGTACATACTATAGTTAGGAGCATCACTGATTATTACTTACGTGCTGATACTGCCTGCAATAATCCACAGCCTGGTGTCCGAGATTATTAACAACTGATTGGCCAGACATAACTCTGTTAATACTTCCCTTCGAAGTTGGTTCATTTGTTGCAGATCTTATTATCCTAGTAGCAAATAAGGCTTCTTCATTTAGGCAGAAAGTAAAATAGAACAAAATTAAATTCAGAATTTAGCATCCTTTCAAAAAAATCTATTCATGTGATCCACACCTTAGGCATATAAATTAAGTATTCTACAACCTGAATTTTGAATTAAATATAGAAACTTGAGGACAATGAGACATCATGGAAAATGTTGTAGTTTTTCTTTTAAGTAAGGAACTGATGACAAGATCCAACAAACCCCAAAGGAACAATTGAAACAAGTAGCTGGATAATAAATCCTTCATGAAACAAGGTTAACCTCAGTTCTCTGCTCGAGAAGTGGCCAGTTACCTAAGTATACAGAAATATAACGTATTTCAAACTATAGGTAAGACACAGCAATTTTCAAGATGGACTCCAGCATACAAAGACATGCAACATTTATTTGTTGCATCAAATAGCAACTTGACTGGAAACTAAAAATCAGGGAAGTTCCCCCTAGATAGTAACTAAGATACGTGGAACTATTCACATCTTAGTCTTCTGAAATATAGGTAGTAACTACAAACTGCCATTTCATTTCTGCCTACAGCCATTTAAGCTAAGAGCTCCTGCTCAGGCATGTTATACCTGAAAACAAACAGGCAGTGATCATCTTCCATAATACTTTTTACATTTCTCACACTATGCCCTCACAAAGGTGCTCCCTTTGCACGGATGATTAGGGAATTATTTGATTCAATGTCATTCTCTTCCTAGCTTTAGAGGTTCCTGCAGAATGCATCCCAGTGATATTAACTTCTGAAGTCACCTGAAATTGCTATGCAGAATGGCTACAGCTAGAGAGGGAAGAACATGTCTGAATGAGGCTAGTGGACTCATTTCCTCGGGACTCGTCATTCATTCCACCACCTCCATCTGGCTGGACACCCTCTTCTCCAGGGAGCACCACAGCAATGTACTGAGGAACTAAGGTCTCTTAGTTTGATGGCTGCCACCGAAGCATCTCCCTAAGATGGGCAACATAATCCTAAACTGCTTTTCCCAACACTACTTGCAGGGCTTTTAATAGCATTACACGCTAGAAGTGTGCTAAAACCTGGGCATCTGTAGAGTTATTTTCCCATGCCTTAGAGATCATTTGCAAAGATGCTAAGCTGAATTATCTCATGAAACTCTTCAGGCTTCAGCCGAAAATAAAAGTTCAGACCTTTACTTGCAACTCAGCTTTCACAGGACTACATTGGTATTCTCCTTTCTTTAGTATTACAAGAGACATGAACAGAAAATAGGACTTTCTTTTTAGTGCTTTCTTTGTACTCTAGGAAAGCAAAGATAAAAAGCAGCAGCTAAGAATAGAAATTTGGCATCACACAGAGAAGTTGGTGTGTCAGCAAATCTTCGCATTTACTGTAATGAAAAATGTATCTTGTAGATACTTATTTTTGAACATCAGCTTTTTTTGATTGTCTTGGTCCTACTGGTGAACAATAGGTGACTCTCAAATGTATTGGTGGCATATGCGAGTGGAAATGAAACAAGACTAGAGCGCAAAGCTTTATTTAAAAGTCTTTCTTCCAGCAACTTCATGCTGATATAGAAAAAAATTCAGTACTTAATAGCATTTTGAATTTTTTATTTTTTAAATGTGAAGCATGAACAGCAAAGCTCTCTGGCTCTTAAAACTCAGAGTTCTTATAATAGAATTACCTTTAGATCTTGCTCTATTTGTGGGGCTTTTGGATTTCACACCAGTCTTTTTGAAAGTTTCTTTTGGTGTTTTCTTTTCATTAACTGGAAAAGACTGTTTTGAGAGTGAAGTGGGTTTCCCATATGCAGAACTTCTAACCACCCCATGAGGACCATATGAAGACTTCTTTTTATGCAAAGGTGCTGGACTTCTGCTATTTCTGTACAACACTGGTTTAGTTGTTATTGATTCTGATGGTTCATTCTTCAAGGAACAAGACCGAAGAGCCTGTGATAGAGCACATTTGTTTAAAACAAGTTTTAGGCTCTAGTGTAACCTGAAGGTAGCTTTCACTACTAAAACATAGAACCAGTTACCAGAATTACACAGCTGTACGACTCGGGGCAGCAGGAAGCATAATTTTTAACCAAATTGATAGTATGTCATTTTGCAGAATTTTACTACTTCAGGAGTATATGTAGTCCAAGTGTTTTGTACTGGCTCCGTTTAACTGTTCTGGGAAGTTGTATTACATTACAGGATCTTTAGCTTACCAAAGCAGGAAGCCCATGACTAAAGGTTAATCAAAGTGAACACAGAAACACAGTGATAAAGAGAGGAACAGTGGCAGGCAGAGGAACGCTACTAAACTGATCATCAAAAACAGAGCACGCAACTCCCAAGACCAGCAAATGAGAAAGCTTAGCCCATTGGCCCTGGTGATGAATCAGCCAAACAAACTCTCTCTCTGCAATGTGTGGCAAAAAAAGAGGTGATTGCCTAAAGGAGCGTGGGGCTAATTTATGGGATGCAAGGAGAAGAGAATTTGGGGGTGCAGGGACAAGATCTGTGATTGCATAAATCTTGTTATGGAACATTTGAGAGAATTGCAAGAATGTGCAAAACCTACATGATGTTTAGGGAAAGGACAAAAAACAGGTAAAGAGAGAGATTAAGGTGGATCAAGTAGGAACAAGTGTGGGAAATAGAGGGAAAATAAGATTAAAGAAGCTGGTGACACGACCAGGTTGCTGGTCAGTACACTTGTCTGACTAAGCCCTACAGTGATCATTGCAGTCTCTCCTACATTCTTACTGAACTGTATTTCTACCTGTCCTCTCTGTAGGTATGACCTCTATTCTGAGCCTGTGTGTGTTTATACACATCCCCCTGATGGGAACACATGCTCAGATGCCCTACAAGCTTGAGCTGGGGACATGGAACCACAGCAGCCTTGCACATATTGGGCTGGAACAGGAAGAATCCCACTGGTCCCAAAGTCCACTGGATTTGGCTACCTCTAACAATAGCAACAGTAACACGAGAGTTTCAAGAAAAACAGCAACAGTCTCTCCATTTCTAAACGTCAGAGCATAATCAAATGACAGGCAGTCTAAAAATACACAGTTTTTAAATGTATTTCCATATAAGAAAAATCTGGTTGATGTTACTTACTTGTTTAGTTTTGCTGCTTTGTGAAAGCAGAGAGTCTTGTACTATTTTTTCTCTTAGCACATCAGGCTGTACTTCACTGGTCTGAATTTCTTTCTCAGTCACCCTCTGAAGCTTATCGTCATTTACAGCTGTCTGCAGAAAGATGCTGTCTTCTCTGTTAAACTTCTCAAATAAGTCTGTCTCCCAAACTGTATTATTCTGGTGTTCTTTAAAGGACGAGTGGCTGATGAGGTCATTTGCTGTGCTGCCTACCAGTTTCACAGGACTACAAGAGAAAGGAATAAAGTCATATATAACAAGACTTTCACCCTTTGCTTTTCTACCGCTCTGGAAAAAGTGGGCCATTTTTCCTTTAGGTATCAGCTTTAAAGGCTGCTTGAATTTGAAAGAGCCACTAGGCTCTTTTTAAAAACAGCCTTGCAGGTTTAGTTATACAAATTCACTCCCACGCTGTTGAACAAGAGCCATTTCTCAGCAGTGACTGTTTTTGTGGAGGTACCAAACTCAACTACAAGATCAACACCTGCAAGCATGCAATTAATGCTAATAAAACAACGAATGGTAATTTCTGCTGGGTACAGCTACATGGTAAGCTCCCAAAACTCATTTGCTAAGCATAACCGATTTCTGACAGTTCCAGGGCCTGTGCTTTCTGCTCTAGACACAACAGTTGGAGCAAATCAGAAGGAACACAGGTTAGTAAGAATCATGGGAGTAAGTAGAATAAGAGGATTTGATCTTAGATTATGGAGGTTGGAGAACTAGGATAGGATGTGAGCTTAAATCCATGTATGGGGGAAGGGAAAGAAGACTGAGCAAGCAGAGATCCGAGTTGTGGTAGCTCTGAGAGTGAGGAACACTGCTCCAAATGATTTGGCAAACATTGCTGCTTATCACACAAACAAAGTTTGGGAATCCCTGGTCTAAGTTTATTAACCCTGTATATTTGTTCTACAATTCACTGCAAACACCATAATGCCAGTGCAAGACATAATGAAATTTTAGTATTTAATTAGGGAATTTTTTTTTTTAAGAATCTGTTTTTCACAAATAGTTAATGGACTTAAGTTATTACAATTCTTAAAATGCACTCTGAAATAAATACCTTTCAGGCTCCACATCAAAACTTCTGATATTACACGAATATCCTTTAATTGGTTTCATCAGTTCTTCCACAGTAGGTAAATCTAATGAGCGCAAAATTAAATAAATAAATAAATAAATAAAACCCTTAGAAAAACATATTTGTAAAAAGGACAACATTTAAAAATGTTTCATAAATGGAGTATTAAAGATATTACTACTTCACACATTTTACATGCTGGTACAATACATGCCTGCCTTTAAGGTACTTACCTGATTCAGTAGTTGAGATGTTTTTTGAATAGATGTCACTATTTTGTGGAACACCTTGCACTAAGCATTCTGAGGCTGCCATTGCAGAATCGTGCAGTTTTTGCTCATCAGTGTCTCCCAAAGACTGATCAATGTGATGGTATGCTTGGTGTAACGCTTCGATGTCACTGGTGGTTTGTCCACAGGAAGCACCTGTGAAAAATGCAGGCTCACAGGAGACACTACAGGATTTTCTGTTTTGGGAATCATCTCACTGGAGCCTGTGTTTCAGTTACTAGCTTGGTCTATTACGTGGCGAGAACAGCAATCAGTTGTGAAAAAAATATTTTCAAATATCTTTTTTACTATAAACAGTTGACAAGTTAATTAATACATACTAAATAGTCTCATTTACAGTTTGTACGCCTCTCTACCTCCTCAATATTTTATCAGTACTAAAACTAACAATGTATGTCATCTATTTTAACAGATGCCATTAGAGCCACACTCTGGATATAAGTGGCATACACTGTTTACAAAATTTGATAAAAGAATATATTTTATAATCATGTTCAATGCTGTCAAAGGAGAATTTTAGCTGTGATGAATAAACAAAGGAGGAGGTATTTAAAAAAAAAAAAAAAAAGAAATCAAACTGCAAGGTCAAAAGCAACTTTACAATAACCAAGTGTAAAAAGCTGTCTTTTTCACATGACACTTTCCTGAAATATCTCCTCCTCCTTTCAAGATTTGTTACTAAAAGCCCAGAGCTTTTCACTGATAACCTAAGAACAAATGAAGACATAAGAGCCATGTATTCTACCAAAGTAAGATTTTGGAGTTTGGGTTTTGCTGTGTGCGGTTTTGTTGGGTTTTTTTTTTGTTTTTGTTTTGTTTTTTTTTTTAAATTTTTAAAGCAACCCGTACCTGCTTCATTCATTGCAATTCCACTGACTTCTCCGGGCAGATAATGTTCACCTTGAGCTGCATCTGATGTTTCAACGGCCTTTTCAAGTTCTGTGGTTGAATCTTGTGAATCAAGTAATACAACTAAACCCAAGAAGATAAATGTTAAAGAAAACACAATTCTCTTATTTATACTCTAAACTAGAATTAGAAGTATAGCAATGCTTATCTTGATGTAGTAAACATGGAAAAAATGCTACATAGATTATTCTAATTCCATTAATGGTAAACTGATTAACTTTTGATTGCAAGAGCTGCACTTTGAAGTGCTAACCTATAGATTAATTTTTAACCGTTTCAGTCCAACAGACTTTCAGTAGCACCCAATAAAATCAGGCGAAAAATATCAAAATAGTAAAAATTAGCTAAGAAAGTTTCAAAAAGTTACATTTAGTATTCTCCTACTGATCAAAGTTTATATTTTACCTTTAGCCAGCATGCCAGCATTTGCTTCTTCCTAACGAATATAAAGAAAAAAAAAAAAATATTACTTTTTGAATTTCAGGGGGGGGAAAAAATCTGGATGAACTTTAAAAGTTGGTCCAAAACCTAAGAACAGTTCCTAGAACTTAGAGCTTAGTAAGTTTTTCATGCTCCAAGAATATGCACTTCTCTAAAACTCTCCTAAAGATGCCAAAAGGTCCTCAGCATCCTGTACTCTACAAACCTTCTAACAAGTGACTGGGAACTAAACGCTACTCTACGTAAATGGAATATTATTTTTGCACCTTCCTGGTTCTTTTATATTGTAATTTGAGAAAAGAAAATAATGTAGCTGTAAGTACATTACACTTCCATTCTATTTGTTCTTTTCAAACAACTATTAGAAATGCTACTCTAATAAACTTACTTAAAAATTAAAAAAACCCATTTATCTATTATAGAGGAACATGTGGTGCTCTAGAGGCTCCTTTTGTAAAAAAAACAAATCAGAACGTGTACTCCAGGAATGCACCTGATGTGCTCCACATCAAAAGACCTGACTAAGCTAGACGACAGTAATCAACTGTAAAAAAAAAAAAACCTCATACACTGTAGATTCTGGGTCCTCTGTCCAGACCGCTTTGTACAGAACTACTTCCCTCACTTGCTGGTGTAGACACCACCTTAATGAGTCGCAGAGAGAGATTAATCACTTCCCATTCTGAGGCTGAGGCTCCAACCTCAACTCATCATTTGAGCACTCCCATCCACAGTTCTTAATTCAAAGGAGGGGTAAGCAGAAAACCCTGTGAAGAACTTAATCCTTTCAGTGATTTATCACAGGAAAGTGCATATCCTTAATAGAACTATATAGTCCCAGGACCACTATATTCTTTTCTTTTCGACAGTACATATTATATAAAGGTTTACTATATTTACAGTTATACATTGAAGAGCTTTTACAATTCATGCAAGTAATACAAACATTTGGTAAGTTATACCTGTTCCTGAGGACTTAAATCAACTCCTGACATGATGTTTTGATTCACCTGACTTCCCTCAGTTTTAAAGGCAAGAATAGCATCTGTTTCTTCTTCAAAATCTTCACTGTAGCTGCCTGAAGATTAAAATAAATGTTGAACAGAATGAATGAATAATCAAGGAAGATAAAGCAGTAAGGGAAAGCTATTTCCTCTTCTCTCATCTAAGAACAGCTACTACCACTATTACTCCTTTCACAAAAGCAACAGAACGGTTTTGAGGAGGGGTGTGGTCCTAAAACTACAGCAGAAGTCACACATAATATCTCTAAATTCAAATGAAGTTCATCTTACAATCAGATATACTTTACCTGTGTCTCCTCAAGGCACACTTGAATTGGCCCCTTACATTCAATCACTTTCTCTCACTGTGGGGTGAAATGATGCCATTTCCCCCCTAGTAGACAAAGTACTCTGTACATCCATCTTCACAACTCTAGCAGTTTTTAGGCTCAGAATCTGTAATTCTGCTTCCTCTGACCTGCTTTGGTGGCCCAACAGCCACTCTCAAGAGTAAGCATTATTTAAAAACACAAGTGTGTCTGAGAGTAATTTTACAAGCAAGCCCAATGTATTTCCCTCAGTTACCTAGATCCTTCCACAAGTTTCAATTCCCTATTGCCATATCTCCCCCACTCAACTCCCATGGTTACAGGCTTCAGTGTCTGCATTATCTGTAATGCTTAAATCTAGAGCACTGCAAAACTCTGGTTTACAATGTGTTCTTCCTGTGTTTTGTCATCAATACAACTGACACACAGTTTAACTCATATGTAAAAACTACTCTATGAAAAGTCACTATTTCAGCATTCTCTTTGGGTTTGGACCATGAGAAGTCTGATCAGCTGAAAATAAAGTTTTCTCATACTGATTTAAGGCATACACAGTGCTTATACTATTCCTGCACATGTATTATCCACTGTTTCGTTTGCTACTTCATGAAATAGCAGTTTGACAAGACTAAACCAAACCACGCATAACACACAGATTGGTCATTCCAGGGATTCCATAGAAACTGTTTTCCTAAAAATCAAAAGTATCAATTTCATAAAACTGACTGTAACAACCTAGTCATTTACACCATTTTGGTCAGAAAAAGGCTACCAAATTGTTGTAGCATTTCTAATATAACTACCATGATCTTTTGCAATCTACAGTGTAATCAAACTTGCAAGGAGAAAAGATTTTTTGTCATTAAGGTTTACAAACACAGCTTCTGTATGTCTGGGAAATTCAAGCCTGACAATGGGACCTCTCAAAAGTTCAGCTAAATATATAAACTGGAAAATACAATCTGTTGATTAAATTACGGGAATACACTCTATCATATGTTAACGAGGAAGATCGAAATAAAGAGAGATGGCAAGTGAAAGACAAATAAGCAAGATGGAAGGAGCGCAGCATGGAAATTTGGGAAAAAGATCAGGCAAGAGTAATACTGCAGATTACAGAGATTAAGCTCAGGTATGAAAAGACAGTACAAAAATGCAGATGACAGTTAAAAACATTAAGATGTATTTCAACATCGGGGTCATCTTCTCTTCAGTTTTTCATTGACAGTTGCTTGGGGCTTTTTTGCTGTTTTTCTTTTAGACATCAGTCACTAAAGGTTAAAAATCCACTTCAAAACTAAAAAAGCACAAACCAAGAGCAACCCCCTGAAACCCTTTGTCTGAACACCAGCTGTACAGTCGTACTGCAAAGACAGACTAAAAAGCTGACGTGAGAGCTACAAATAAATGCAAATAATTAACATGAAAATTACATTAGCTTTCAGATAAAGAAAAGCTTTACCCACAATGGTCAGGGTGATACCTGAACAGGAGTCAGTTGGTTTACATATTACTCAGCAAAGTTGGGTGAAGAGGCTGGAATGTCTTGCGAATCTGAAACCTAGGAGTCAAGTTTTCTGACTACCTCCAAATGCAACACAGTATAAAACAAGTTGTGAGACTGTAGTACAATTTTGTCTTTCCAGATCTTTAAATTACATTCCACAACAAACATGAAGATCCTACACTATCCTCTGACACTCTGCTGTGATGTTTTCTGAAGACTTTGCATTTGAACTGGAACACTAATCCACAGCTTTCATTTGTTATTCTGTTTAATGGAGGTTCTCACAATTCTTAGTGTGAATGCAGAAAAAAAAAAAAAAAAAAAAAATTTTCAAATTAACAATTTTGAAAGATGATATTACCAGATTTCTCTTCGTGTGTGGATTCCTCCTCTTCTTTTTCATTTTTTTCATTGCTGAGAAACAAAATGAAAATATTACTGTCTTTTTGGACAGCAAATAAATATAGTTTTTTTTTCTCTAATTCCAAACTTCGATACCTCTTACAATTAGCAATAAAATTAAAAACCTGAATTTGTCCATTGTATCAAATCACAGGTAAGAAAGGTGGATAAATATCAGCAATTATTAAAATAAATATTTAAGTTTTTACAACTGCCCATAGTTTAAATTCTCAATCTAACTCTTAAAATCACTCCTTTTTTGCATTCCCTTCAACATCTGCATTAGCTTTTTAAAGAAATTTTTATAGTCAGGTTTGCTTCCTGTTCTGACCTTATTCTGCAGTAACAAAAAAACCAAACTGCTTTCTTTCCGCTTTTCCTGTAAAGTTAAAGTTTTGTCCTTACCAAAAACTCCCCAGAATTCTGACCCTCCAACTGTTTTCATATTGTAAGTTTCCTTTGCACTTAACATTCCTAGCAACAGCAACCTGAATTGCCCCTTTATCCATTTCTCTCACGTTTAAACTTATTTTCACATAACTGATTATAAATGGATTGCCCTAGTCTATGAAGATTTTGTATTTTTCCTCTAGATTCATTTGTAACATCATGTCTAAGGGGACACAGAATCTTTCCTGAGCTACCTCCTTGTTGTCATCAGTTGTTAACTTTCCATTTAGTTACACCTTACAATTAAGAATGTTAAATCAACTTCTAACTACTGAGTTATGCACAAGACTGTGTAGCTACGGCAACTCATCACCAAGTCATGCTCTCTCCTTATTCCTTTATTTATTAAGCTCAATTCTATCCTTGTCTTAAAACAAACAACCCCACCACCACCACCACAACCCAAGCCAAACAAACCACAAAAAAACCAAACAAAAAAACCTGACTGAAATCATACAGGATCTTGTCCCACAAAATCTCAGAGGCCATGGTATTCAGATACCCAAGCCACTTGTGCCCACTGATACAGTCCGCAACTTTTCTTCCCTCAAAGTTACCGTACAAATGGTGCTAGTAATACAGAATCATTGGAATCCAGCTCTTTATTTAATCTTGAATAATCAATAGCAGAGGAAGCTTCTTGTTCAAGTTTGGCAAAGAAGATCTCTTTTTCTTCTTGTTCCTCCAAGGTATCCAATCCAACTCCCACAATACTTTGGTTAGGCCCAGAAGCTAAAACTGAATCTAAATTTCAAAACAAAGGACAGACAAATTGTGTCTGTGCTGTATATTCACATAGAATAGTCATACTAGTTAACAACAACTATAGACAGAATCACAAAATATTAACAGCATCGAATAATCACAAGGAGCCTTCAGGACATGAGATGCAGCTGAAAGAAACAAAGAATCCTGACTTGCAATGAATTAAGGGAAACGGGTTGTCATAACTGTTTATTTAGAGCCAGCCCACTTCATGAAATGGCTGCACTCTCAGTTCTCACCATTTGTCTCCAGGCTGTCTCTACTTAAGGAGATGGCAATATCATTACTTTTCTTAAGCTGCATCTTTTCCACGTGCATATTCTCATCAGTTTCCCCCATAGGCTGCAAAGTGTTCTGTACCTTGACAAAGCTTCCATTGGCTCCAAGCATTCCTAGGAAAAAAGTTGCAATATTCTTGACTATCATCTAAAAGCTACTTGTATGACTTCTAGTCATCTTCCAGAACCACCAATTTTAAGCTCATGTTGCAACTGCAAAGATACGCAGTCTCACAAATCACATTCATCTAACTTCAGTTTCTTTTACGAGATATGTAAATTTTGTTTAATTACAATTAGTCTATTATATAAGTTTGCCTCCCATCCTTCATATTTGCACACAAACCTATAGTTCAGCACTGGGCAAATATATTAACTGTAAAAACTGACTTACTGTAACGTTACTCATGGAAGACAATCACACACACAAACCCTGTACAGAAATTAACATTTCTTTGTTAGAAACCTATTAATTTTGTTTGCTCTACTATCCACAGACTTTTCAAAATTGTAGTGCAGCAGCTCCTTTTCATTTGTTGCAAATTAAATGCTTTAAGGAAAAAAATAGTAACCAAAGTTTTTTAAAGGTCACTGATGAACACCCAGTTCTTCCATTCTGTATGTTTATGCAACTACAACATGCAGCTGCTCTCTTTACTGTAATTTCATTGTTGTGAGGATTCAACATCACCTTACCAACTTCATGTATGAATTCTGCTCTCAGATAGAACGCTGCTTTATCTACTTCCTTACAGAAAACTAAAAACCAAATATTGCAGTACATTACTAGTTAAAAAGCAGTACCAAGTTCCTTCGGCCTGCCCCTAAACCACACACATTTAGACTTAGATTCTTTAGAGGTTCTCTTAGGAGAAGGGATAGGAGAAAAGCTGCTTATGCATTTTATCCCATGACATATGAAATGATTTAACAGTTCTCACAGAAGGGAACAGAAACCATGTCAGTCTTTTCCAACATGAATCTCCAGTTGGTAAAATAAACTCAGAATTTTTTGTTCTGTCTGGCCGAATGATGTCTAGACTGTAGCTGTGTCCTTGTATCAAACATACCAGGAAGGGTGAAGGCACCGACAACAGCTCATTTCCTGCTGGCAGGAGACTGCAGGAGATGCGTACATCAATAACCCTTCAGATCAAGAACACCAAACCAGTCTTCCATGTGCTGATCAAGTGCTTCAACTCTGGGCTGTTACTCTGTCCTCTCTACAGGCTCAATCAAGTTCCTTTTAAGAAATGCCACGTTTACCTGTATCACGACAATAAAGAATCCTCTCCATTCAGTACTGAAAATGAATCTAGGGTGAAGCAGGGTAGGAAAAGTGAGAGTCTGAACACCTTTTCCTTCCCTACTGGGCAGCCCTTAGCACATGCATTCCGATTATAAGAGCCTCTTCATTAAGAATAAGGGTTTTTTTTTTCTTGACTTGCAATGACAAAGTCCCTTTGCACGTTTTATTGGGAGGCTAAGTGCAGAAGATTCTACATCTTGGAAATGACTTCCACATTCCTGTATCAAACTTCAGCTCCACCCCTGGTAGCAGAACTCTGACTGAGTTGCCTCACATGTAAAAAATAAATATCAGAGACATTGACTAAAGGTCAAGCTCCGCAAATATACAAAGTTAATGTCTAAATACATTGAAAAGTATAAAATGGAAAGCTCAAAGTGCTGAACAGAAGTGAAAAAGCATGAACAGTCCATTTCTCTGGTAGCTAAATACAGTGATTTAAAGTAATTTACCCAGATGATGCTCCATTCTAGCTATCAAGAAAGCAAATAGGAGTTTGTTTGCAGCTGGGTCACAAGTTCTTTGCAAAGCTTTAGATTAGCCACAATCTCACCAGATCTCCAACACCCTATTTTTCAATGAGAATATGTCAGTAGTATCAAAGATAAACTGTCATTGCCCCCTTATGCAAGATTTACAAGAAAGGAGATGGGTATATACTTCAGCAAAAAGACAATTAGAATGTTTAACAGAACAACATTTTAGAGAAAAACATTTTCCTGAGTTGTTTATTTAAATCACCTCAAACTCAACGTTCTGAACAGACCTACATTGATCATGAAGGCTTCATGTGATTTATGTAACCTATCTAAAATTTTTTGAAGTATTTTGCCAGTTCAAACCAGACCAGAGCTTTCTAAAAAAAGCACTTCCCTCCCATAACAATCTGAAAATCAAACACACCTTTGCAGCCATTCGGTTTTGCAACTCAGCCACTCCCAATTCCCAGACACACACCCCAGATTACAGGAGATAACTACTGTTGCTAATTAAGGCAAAACTGTCATTTTACTAGCCCTACACAATCTGAACGGAGAAACTTATCAAATGTGGAAAAAATATTAACTTGGATGGATTTCAAAATCTCTTTTCACTGTTTTTTTGCTGTTTGAACAGTCCTAGTGATTTCTGTAGGGCTTGCAAGAGTGATTTATTTTTTGGGGGGGTATTTGTTACTTTTCATAAAAACTTCTTGACACAGCAGTATTCTTCAACTCACTTGCGATATTTTGTAAGGCTAATCATGGACAGCATTCTTTTTTCAAGTCCTGCCACTTAATTAAATTAAATTAATTAAAATAAGAACCCGAGTTTCACTTAGAAAAATATTTTTAACCAGCACACTTGAAGGGAAAAGTTTACAAACATAAATACAAAGGACTCAAACCTACAGACAATGACAAACATCTAGTCAAAAAGTAACTTCTTTTCTCCTTAATCTGACCAGGACTGTCAGAATCGAGCCATTTTAGCTTTTTAGTATCATACAAAATACAATAAATTTGTTACCCTCAGAATTGTCTGGACTGTCAGAAGTGAGGCTTCCTTCTTCTTTGTTTAAATATGAAACTTTCTTGTCCTTATGAAATTTTTCCAGCATTTTGAATCTAGACAAAGCCTTGCTGCGAGATGCACTGGAAGGTTTAGGGGGAGCTACTTTTAAGTGCACACAAACATTTAGAAGTTTTTATACATAATGGACAGGGAATAAAGAGAAAAGTAAGATATGAGAATTCAGATTGCCACTTCTGAAAAAGTAATGCAGTTCAGTTTCTTGTATACTGAACTATCTACAGTCTTCTAGCTATAACTAAAAATTAAAGCTAAACCTTACAACTTATGAGAATAAAACTCATTTTTTCTCCCCTCTCTACTTTTAAAAAAGACAAATTCCTTCTTGCTCCACGTATACCTTGCATTCAAATACCCTGTTTTAGGAGCTCAATATATTACCTGAAAACAAAGAAAAATAGTAAAACTACTTCAACAATAAAAGAAGTTTTGTAGTACAAGTTTTGAAAGAAAGCATCTAGATCGGTTCAAAGAAAAGTGAAAAGCCATAGGTACATAAATGTGAATTACTACCATCTATCACTGTCAGGTACAAGAGCTGTATGTTCTTTGATCAAACCATTGTGAGGACTTGCTTAGAAGCAGATATAACCAAACACTTTCCATTCACATTGGTAGAATTAAGTGTTAGATAACAGTACCTATGCTGAAAACTGTTCTCTTTCATGATACTTAGATGATAGTCACACTACACATTTTATATACCTTAGGCTACCCAGGTGCACTGCATTAGACTTTTCCTTGTTCAAATTGTTGGGGTGGAGAGGGCTTCTAAATTGGCTAATTCAGGAAAAACTCTTAGTCAAAGTTTTTTTTTTTGCATTTACCTTGACACAAGAGAGAGCAGGAATAGTCTAGGGGATCAAGCCAAATACTTATGCTACCTAGAAATGGGACTACTGGGAGATGTGACCAGAAGCTAACACAACTCATAAATATCCAAGATGACTGAAGGAAGGTGGTGAGCATATGACAGGTGCAATGCAAAAAGAAAAACAGTATGAAATCCATTCTGATAAAACACACAGCTCTGTTATTCCCTCAACTGATGTCCAAGTCCACTAGTGAGGCATCACTTCTCTAGATTTATATTCTCCCACATTTACTGGGAAGCTACAAGTGTTGACAGCATGCCTTCTGCTGTGAATAATGCAAACACCTGATGCCTTTTAAAATAGTAATTGGAAATAACTGCCAAACTCCTGCTATTGCTCATATTTCAAATATTAAGCCTAATTTGATAAATAGATCCAGTTTATAGTGTTTATCTCCCAGACCGAGATGCTTTATAGCTATCCTATGCAAATGAGACTTACGAAAACAGGGCAGCACATACACTCTAGAAAGCTGACATAGCTTCTATAGGCTACATAGTAGATCACCAACACAATCTAAAGACCAAGTGCCAAATATTTCTTTGTCATGGCTCTCCAAAATATTATTGATCTGCTTGAATTTAACACCAAAGCCACATTTAAACAAGTATATACAAGGTAATTGCTATTGTAATTTACACAAAACTATTTCATGGATCAATGTTTAACTTTATTATTCTTTGGAGTTTCTCTTCAGATAGCACAAAAAGTAACTTCACATAAAAGGTTGAATCTGAAGTCACATTGACTAAAATAACCCTGTAGATTAAACAACTCAGTTTGCCATTATTACACCAACTGTACTGTTTCCATTCCAGGGGCAGCATGCACAGTGCAGCCTACTGGTCAGCAGAGGGAAAAGAATCAATTCAACAGAAAATAAATAGAATGCTTCTCTGACTGGAGTATTTGAAATTAAACAAATAGAACACCGAATATTAATATTTTTTGATAATGAAATATAGAAAGTGTAGGAGATTTTCTGTTTACTAAACATACTGACTTTTGTTTAGATTTTCAAACTTATTCTCCCCCACCCCCCCGGCTTACATTCAATACTATCTGTCCTCCTACATCACTATAGGTATTGATATGTGCTGTAACGATAATTGAGCAAAAGATCACATAGTTACTAGTTTTTTCTGGAAATGACAAATGAAGTAAGTGGCAGCTTGCTTTCAGTGAGAACACTATGGTCAAAAGGATGATTTGCAAAGGATTTTCTATAGGAAACACACTAGTAATACGAGACTGATAGTGAATAAATTTAACAAAACATATTTAATCAAATACCAGACTGGGAATCTGAATGGGGACACTTTTGTTCACTATTTTCCACTATTTCAGCGTGGGTTTCCATCAGTTTCTTCTCTTTTTTCAGTTTAACAAATCTTGTTTGAAAATCTTGAAAAGTAAAACAAACAGCAAGCACGAACAGGCAAGCAAGACAGGACAAGAATTCTTATTATGCAATTTCTTTTTGTCATTTAAATAACAAAAGCAAGTAGAAAGGACATTAGTAGTATGTCTTAAACCTGTCAAATATGGAAGACAGTATCTTGAATCATAATTTGCACATTTCAGTTTAAAGCTGAAGAACAAAGAGTTCAAACGTGCCTAGAATAACAAGTTGAATTATTTTAAAATGTACTTTATACTGCTCAGCCAAATGAGCAGAAGTAGTCTACGCTGTTTACCATTCATCTACAAAAGGAAGTGAAAACAGGCTCTTAGTTTAAATCTCTACTTGTTTCCTGGCACTTCTGCAACAAGATACTTTGGAAAAAATAAATCAGACAACAAATAAATGCATAGCATGTATTTTGTCTTCCAGTCACCTGTCCTGCGTCTTTTAAGAAAGCATGATCTAGATACTGAAGTAACTCAACGTGAAAACCTCAAACTGGAAACAACTTATCAGCTCGGTGTATTACTCAAGCTAATTAGCCAGACTGTACTTTGTTAATGTAACAGTATCTCTACACAGTTGCCACCCAAACACATCAACTCATACATATGAAGCATATATTCATAATGTAGTGCCACACTGGGGGTAGAGATAAGATTCATACATTTACCTAACTTTGATTCATGTTGACAAAACACTTTAAAAATAATTCTATTAGCTGACAGCGTGTCAATAATGGTCCTATCTACAACCAACATGGAGGATCAAGACTAGGAGAATAGACAAGAATATCCACAAAATGTCAGAGAATGCCAACCTTACCCTTCTGAGAAATAATTTCAGCTTACTTCCATATTTGTTATCATCACAGCAATATTATTATTTGTTTAAACGGGACAATTATTTTTCTATTTAGGGCACATTTAATAACCTTACAAAAAGCTAAAAATCTAAATCATCTCCTCAGTCATCCTGCGCACTAACTTATGTTGATAATAATCCATTACTAGTATATCTGAGCACCATACTACTCTTGTATTCCAAATTTTTATTATGTCCAGTCCCTCATCATGAAGAGTATGAACATGAACAGGCTCACTTCATTTGCGAGTAAAGGGGTTCCATACTGGCAAAACTGGGTAGGCTCGCCTGCTGAATGCTTTCATGTTAAAGAAGTTTTTTTTTTAAGAGAGACCTTAAAAAGTTTACCAGAACTCTAGTTTTATTTTATATGTCAATAAACTGCAGATCAAGCATGTTTCAGTTCTGATAGCTTTACCTCTAGTTAAACTACAGAACTGAAAAGATAGTCTTAATTTAAAAAATAAAAGTGGTAAAGTTGGTTTGGATGGGAACATCTTGAAACAATCACACTACTTATTCTGATTCTGCTTTGCATTGTGCTTAACCCATACAAGCACTGTTCTCTGACACTTGTAAGCACTCTGTCCTTTAAGTACCTATTCCAGTTTTTGGTTTTTGGTTCAAGTAGCATGAGAAGAATCAACGTGCTTTATGGGTTCCCTCAACCATCTCAGAAAAAACATAGAAGAATGCTGAACTACTTAAGTCCCCTGAAAATTTTCTTTGATAGTATGTCGAAAAATGAGGTCAATATGATTCCTTTTAAAAAAAATACAATTACATCTGAGTTTTATAGTCTACAAACTCACATTATAATGTCCTAAAGCACTTGAGTGGCACTAACATAATCTGAAAGCAGGCCTATGTGAAGCATGAGAAAGAACTAGCCTGACCTCCTGTGGCCAAAAAATTGCAAAACTACATTATTTACCACCATCGTCCAAATCTTCCTCAGATATCCACCACGGCACTGAATCCTTTTTCTTTGTTTCTTTTTTCCTGGGCTGCCCCAGTGTCTCAAGAACGCTGGATTTTTTCTTTGAATTTCCAAGTGAATCATCTGAAAGAGACTGAGTCAATTGCACACAACGTTAAAGACAGCTTTTACATTTACACACTGTTTAACTGTCTTCCAGCCACTCAATTCCACACTTCGGAGTTCAGATGCCTGTCTTTACTCCCCTCTGCCTGCCCTTTTTGTATATGCATGACAAAGTTGAGCAAGAAACAGTACTTGTATTCTTATGGCATAATACTGCATATTATAACAAACCGACTGCCAGAATTTGGATATGCTAAAAGTTAACTGCTTAGTAGAGCGTATGTTCAAATGAACAGCATAATCAGCTCTTTTTCAATTAGTTACAACATATAAGAACCAAAATCCCGACTGCACCCCTGAAGATAATGAAGTAGAGCGGAAACAGTTTTGCTTTGGCCTTGCTTTGCACATGAAAAACATTATTAATATTCTAAAAATAAACCTTCACAAGAAACATTCTAGCACCCAGCAAATCAGATTTCAGAAATGAATTTTATAGTTTGTATTCATGGAAATTAATAGAAATATCAGAGCCATTCCTATCCAACGCTGTGTATTAAGCTTTCATATGTGTTAGTCATCGATGCCAATTTTAATTGAGGGCTTAAATCAATGGAGGAAAAAAAGTCTATGAGTATGAACATGCTATGTCCTATGAATTTAAGTTTCTGAGAAGGAAGATGAAGAAAAACACCTACAGACACCTCATAAGACAACAGCACCTTTCTGAAGCAATGCAGCATTTTTTGAAAAAAACAAAAACCAAAAAACCAAACCTAATCTCTGTTCTTTTCCTTTAATAAAGCTCTTTGTGGCTCACAGCAGGCTCAGAGCCACAATTAGCTGTCCAGACACTGAACATGGAAATATATTCATTAAGCTAGTGCACTGCAACCTTATGTGTTACGTATTCTTTGTGCTTAAACTCAGCAAATATGGGGTTAAGGGGAGTGGCATACTTTTTGGTTTTATCTGGTTTTTTTAATCGACAACTGTTAAAACCTATTGTCCTAAAGTGTCTTAAAGAACACAGTGAATAGAGTCAGTAAGAGGCATAAAGTATAAGAAACAGAGAATTCACATACAAAATGCATCAGATGGGAAAATTTCAAAAGCTTCACTTTTGTAATAGTCACAATAAAGAAAATGTGATAGCATAAGAGAATATTAGAGGCAACAGGACTGTGGGTACTTAGTATGTAAAACATCAGAGGATGTTTTATTAAAACAAGCCTCTGCAGTCCACTGCCTGATTTCTATTGTATAAAAAGCACTACTATAAAAGCCTACCTTTACTATATATCTAAGGCTTCAATTTATATGGGCCTAACAAGAACACAGATAAATCAAATGCCAATTATCCAAAATTACCATTTAAGAAAAAAATAATTATAAGAAAATAAAATTCTTCTTAATATCCCTGGCCAGTAACATCTTTAGAGCTTAGTCTGACTTGAGAAAACTAAATGCCTGTCATACAGTCTCAGAAAGAAACTGAAGTGCTCCAACCCTTGCACTTTAATAAAACACTATTCTAATAGATTATGAAACTGCTAGACAACAGGATGTATTGCAATTTCTTTAAGTTGGCTCAGTGACACAGAACAAACCAGCTTTACATTCTTAATAAATGTCCTATAAATAACAACTTACTTACACTAGTCACAACACAAGTACTAGTGCCATTGTCCCTAAAGGCCGGGCTGCCTCCTGCAAGCTAGAAGTACTGACAGTTGCTTGATGCATGCTCTGTTATCGCTTGCTGTTTCTTTTACGACCAACAGAATCCTCTACTCTGCAAGCAGAGCTTCAATGATGCTCGTACTCCTTAGAGTATTGTAACTAAAGAAACTGAAACTCCCACAGGTTGTTCTCAAGTTCTGGAAACTTTCTACGTCCAGCCATCTTGTCAACTGCAGACAGTAAAGTTGCAGCAGCTGGGAAAGAAACGCTGACACAAAAATGCTAGCACATTTTTCCCAACATGTCAGTTGTCTCAATAGCAAAACTTACAGACTTGCAGATATTTTCTTACTGTGAAAAAAAGTAAATTAATAAATAATTCAACTTATTGGACCAGTAATGGCTTTTCAGTGCCAGTAAGCGGCACTGATTTCTTCCTTCCCCTCTATAAAACAGCCTGTCAGCCTTTCAGGAACACAGACACACACACACACCAAAAAAAAAAAAAAAAAAAAAAAAAGACCAGTTCTTTAACCTCAGCTTAAAAGCCAAGAGTCTGTTTTAAGAACTGGGACAACTACATGGCACATAATCAGCTTGCCACCTCCTATACACATGAAGGAACTTAAGAAAGCAGATAGGCAATACTGGATTGGATCTAAACCACTCAGACTTTCAAGACCAGTTGTCCTAATTATTTCATTATACAAGTCTACTCAGAATTGTATTTTTAGTACAAAATAATATTTTAATCTAGCTGATCTTTTAATAAAAATTAAAAATGTCTTTCAAACAATTTAATGTGCAGTGTTATTCTTCCAGGTCCTATTCTACAGATTTTCTAGTAAAGACAGTATAGCCTTTCCTTTTGAAAGTCTTCCTTCGCAGCTGTCCGTGAGTATCAAGTAGAATAAAAGTCAACCCAGAAGACTAGAAGCAGACAATAGGTTTTTCCTAACTTTGCTTTGCTTGAAGTGTCATCAAAAAAAGCAATTAATTGAAGCACTGTGTATTAGACAGAGCTCCTCACATTGCGTGTCCCAAGGGAACTTCACAGCCAACACTCAGAAAACTCTGTCATACCAATATGACAGACGATATGTAAATTAAAGTGACAATAAGGGAAGTACCTTAAAGTGAGATATTGGTAGTGGGGATTGGAAGGATCACAGGCACACAGACAATGGAGGAGGAAGAGAAGAAATATGGTTGACAACAGGCTGTTCTGGCAAGGGGTTGGGAATGAGTGTGATCAGGCAGACATTTGATTTTCCTTCTGTATAATGATAAAAGCCTAGAAAATCCTCTTCGCTGATAGTGTATATACCAAAAGACTTTAATTTAATCCTCATACTAGCCCTGCATCATCCAACTGTATCTACAGTCTCTCTTTAACTTTATATGATTAATTGCAAACTTACATGCAATCCTCCCCCCAAACAAAAGCCATTTCACTATGAGTTGTTTAAAAGGGAAAAACCATCCTGTTCCATTCCATCTCTGAAAGAAACACTGTCTTCTTCAAACTACTAAGAAACAGTTTTTATTATTCCCACCCCCCTGCCATTACACTCTGAACACAAACATCACCTATGCTTCGATTTCAAACAATGGAGCACATCAGTTTCTTATCTTTCTAACATTAAAAGGCTATGCATTTTTTATAAAAAAACAAAAGCAAAGGGAGGGACATAACCAAAGGGGCAAGCATCTAAAGTAACAGACAGTAAGATAATGTCACTATAATTTTGGGCTGGAAAAACAAAAAAAATGAATATTTTTAATGACCGGATTGGCAGTGTATGTGTTTAAGCAAGTTTAAACACTTTACAAATAGTTTTACTTTAAACATTAAAACAGAATAGCTTCAGCTGGTAAATAACACACACAATTAAATTGAAACAAAAATCAAGAAGCAAGGGCTCTTTCTGAAGATATAACCTTGCAGTGACAAAATATTTAATCACAAAACTGTTCTCTTGATTTCAAGACAGCAAAATAGTATGAATTATGTTTAGCAATGAAGTGAGGACCTTGCAAAGACTCACACATAAGACAGGTATGTGAATTACCGATAAAAGCACAGCTGCATCTTCCATTTCATATTTTTCCATACTCAATTTAACTCCTGTATTTAAACAGGGAAAAGGGATGTGACCTTGCGCTGAAACATACCTCTTTCAGAAACTCTTCAAACTGCTCATCTAATTCTTCTTTTGAAAATCGATGAGCCATAATCTTCAATTGGATGTTACCTTCCAAACAACTGAATTTAAAAGCTAAGATTTAAAATAGAAATAAAGTTAATTAAAAGCATTCTGAAATTAGAGGTAGCTTAGAGATTTGCTGCTTTCATAGAGAGCTACAAGCAAAAAAAAAAAAAAAAAAAGAAAAATCTCAAGAGATGCCAAATTTCATTCTTCCCACTCCTAATCTAAATTATTTACTGAACAAGACAATCAATACAAACATACCTGGATTACACACATTCCTTATAATCAAAGCACTTATTTCCAAAACAACAGTTTCAGCATTTAAACTTTGAGGGATAAATAAATAGCCATCTTTACATTTTTCTTCAAAAGACAGCTCTCAGCTACGCGCAATTAAGCATTTTGTCAATGATGAAACAAGAATCCACCGCAGTAATACTTCCCATCCATTTTAAGGGCTTTTAAATCCTTTCCATGTTTCTTCTCCAAAACTGGAGACATCTGGCATTATAAGTTTTGTTTCATTGTCTCTGCTGAGCTTAGGACTCAGTAAACGATAAATGCATTAAAGTCTTTAAGATTAGAGGTTTGATCTGCCTTGACACAGAAAGCCAATGGCACTTGCCCCCCTCACATTCCCAAAAGTCTGTGTTGACTTCTCAGGTATAAAATATGCCCCACACTCAAAAGGCTACAAAGCTTTTTTATATCACACTGCTCAACACATATGGCTACCTTCAAAACTGTGTGTGTATAGGGACATCAAACTATCCTAGCATCTTCCAGGCTGAGAAGTGCTATGTAAACATAAAAGGGCTAAACATTTGCAGAAATGCTTTTACCATTACACAAAAATTCTCTCAACATGGAGCCCTCTCAGTGCACAGGACTGTTACCTACCTAGTAAATTGATTTTGACAGGCGAGTTGTGACAACTGCTTCCTGCTTTCACTCCTTATTCATCCATAGACCACCCGACACTTTGGCTTTGGCAGCTAAAAAAAAAAAAAAAGTTATAGCAGACTTCCCAGACCTTGAATCGAGTAAGATATCCTTCTGTAAGC